GAACGGCTCTCACAGTCAAGAAGTCAAGAAGTTCTTCCTCATGTTCAGATGGATTCTCCTTTCTTGTAGTTTCTCCTGCATTTATGGCAAGCATGCTCAGAGGTTGTGAGGTCCTCACTACCTCTGAGGAAGCTTGCCATGGATGCAGGAGAAACGTCAGGAGAGAATGCCTCTAGAACATGGCCATATAGCCTGAAAAAACCTACAACAACTCAGTGATTCCAGCAATTAAAGCCTTCGACAATATACTTTTGAACAGTTTGGGTAAAACGTGTAATTCACTTATAAGTTCTTCTGAGAAACATATGTCTTAATAAACATGCAAGAGTTGCATTATTTAGAGCAAGATGTACTGAAAAAGGATGGGAAAGATACCTCAACTGAATCTGCTAACATTCATTTATATTCTATACTCCCACCTTGTACCTAGCTAGATCTCTCACACTTTTGGACCAATGTGATTTTGAGTCAGCTGATCTATGCGGTCTGGTGCAAAAACCACAAGACAATGCTGTCTGGCTTCATAAGAAAAATGACCCACCGGAACAAGACCATATGCAACGACAATGCAAAGGTATATAAAACACACATACTTATCCCAGTTTCCAAGATATTTACTTCTTTTGTGTCTGATAAACAGATGCTAAGTTATTTATTTGTCGTGTCAGGGCAACCAGCCACTTATATTACATTTTTAACAGAACAAAGCAAACAAACAGACAAAATACAAAATTTGTGAGTTTGGTAGTTGATTAAATGTCCTTTGACCAGTATCTGGCCACTCGGAGTGCTTCTGGTGTTGCTGCAAGAAGGTCCTCCATTGTGCATGTGGCAGGGCTCAGGTTGCATTGCAGCAGCAGGTGGTCAGTGGTTTGCTCTTCTCCACACTCGCATGTTGTGGATTCCACTTTGTAGCCCCATTTCTGAAGGTTGACTCTGCATCTTGTGGTGCCAGAGTGCAGTCTGTTCAGCGCCTTCCAAGTCGCCCAGTCCTCTGTGTGCCCAGGGGGGAGTCTCCCGTTTGGTATCAACCATTGGTTGAGGTTCTGGGTTTGACCCTGCCACTTTTGGACTCTCGCTTGCTGAGGTGTTCCAGCGAGTGTCTCTGTAGATCTCAGAAAACTATTTCTTGATTTAAGTCGTTGACGTGCTGGCTGATACCCAAACAGGGGATGAGCTGGAGATGTCTCTGCCTTGGTCCTTTCACTATTGGCTGCTACTTCCCGGCGGATGTCAGGTGGTGCAAAACCAGCTAAGCAGTGTAATTTTTCCAGTGGTGTAGGGTGTAGACACCCCGTAATAATGCAGCATGTCTCATTAAGAGCCACATCCACTGTTTTAGTGTGGTGAGATATGTTCCACACTGGACATGCATACTCAGCAGCAGAGTAGCACAGCGCAAGGGCAGATGTCCTCACTGTATCTAAGTATACACTGTATGCTAAGTTGCATCTATACAAGTAAGGAGAGATTTGGTTTGAATGTCCTGTCTGTGGGTAACTAGGCCACAGCATGGTTCTCAGGTCCTGGAACAGATTAAACTAACCTTCATATGAATACTCTTTGTCATGAATAACTTTTGAACCTTAAAAAATGCACTTTTAATCTGTTTTCAGTGAGATAGGGTCCATCAGGCACTTCCAGAGAAAGAAGTAAAGACACACAAACTCCTGTACTGGATTTATAATAGCTATTATTGATTACACAGACAAAAAAAAGAGGATGCATTACATATACTCTAACATTCACTCATAATCCATTTGTTCTATCATCCCAACTAACCACCCTTCTTTTTTCAGTTGATCAGATTTCTTGGGAGGAGGTGGCAGCTGTTCTGAATGCTGCATTCCTGCAGATCTGACACACTTTTCTGATAGAAAAGGGTCTCCTTATGTAGAACTTTTTCTGTTGTTGTTCTCTTTGTTGTTCTGACAACTTGTTATTCAGTTAAGACTTGCTGAAGCTCCATCAATTCCGGAAAATATGTTGTTTTTCTTCCTTAACGTAAGGTGCCATTGCTTCTGACTTGCTTAACTTTAAGAGTTGTTGTCTCTGACCATGTAAACATGTGTGGTTTGCACCAAAAGTTCTCAAATCAGTTATGTCAGATCAGCAGTTTTCTCCATCAATTCCGGAACATATGTTGTTTTTCTTCCTTAACGTAAGGTGCCATTTTTTCTGACTTGCTTAACTTTAAGAGTCATTGTCTTTGACCATGTAAACATGTGTGGTTTGCACCAAAAGTTCTCAAATCAGTTATGTTAGATCAACAGTTTTCTCCATCAGCACTTTTCATGCCGTAGTTAATCCAGTCTTCACCCCCTTTGTTTCTCCATCATGACATTGGTTTTAATTTTAGGATGGTATCATTAATCTTGCCAAGTCTTAATAGGCCCTTAGCCAGACCCCAATCATACAATTTCATTCAATCCCCTTATCATAGATTCCCTATTGCCATTCACTTGGAGTCTGCACCATCATATCAAGAGCTTGGGGTGTACTGATAGGAAATCTATAGGAATCAAAAGGAGTCATAGGTTGAATTTCCACTAAACCCACTCATTTCACTGGTAATTACATTAAATTAAAAAGATTTATTATTCATACTGGAAATTGTCTAAGACGATCCCATTAGAAAAAGTGTCAGAAAAAGAAAGGTGGGAGGGAAGAAGGGGGAAAGGATGTATGACAACTACAGACATCAAAATTTACAATATAATTTTCTCAAAAGGAAATTTAAACTCAAGTAGTTTGCAGAAGTCTATGAAATTAACTAGGTCGGTATTTTTTTTAAGGTTGCCCACAATCCTCTTTCATCTTCTGGCTCCACTAGCCTTTACTGCTTCCCATTTAGTAGCAGTCACATCCTCATTTTAATAATATATAATAGTTTTTTTTTAATCATGTCAGGAGCGACTTGAGAAACTGCAAGTCATTTCTGGTATGAGAGAATTGGCCGTCTGCAAGGACGTTGCCCAGGGGACACCCAGATGATTTGATGTTTTTATCATCCTTGTGGGAGGCTGGAGCTGATAGAGTGAGCCCATCTGCCTCTCCCTGGATTCGAACCTGCGACCTGTCGGTCTTCAGTCCTGCCGGCACAGGGGTTTAACCCACTGCACCACCGGGGGCTCCCATATATGTGTGTGTGTGTGTGTGTGTGTGTGTGTAAAATAATAATAATAATAATAATAATAATAGAACACATCCTCAGCTGCTGCAAGAAGATCATGCAGATAGACTACAGGCAGAGGCAAAACACTGTTGCTCAGATTATTCATTGGATCCTGTGCCACAAATACCATCTGTCTGTGACAAAGGACTGGTGGGATCACAAGCTGGAAAAGGTTACAGAAAATGAACGTGTCAAACTCCTCTGGAACTTCCTAATTGGAGCATAGTACTACTGACCTCACGATCGTGTTAAAAAACCAAGTATGAATTGTCGATGTTGCAATCCCAGGTGACAGCAGGATTGAAGAGAAACAACTGGAAAAGCTGACACAATATGAGGCTTTATTATTTATTTATTTATTTATTTAAAACATTTATGTTCCGCCCTTCTCATCCCAAGGGGGACTCAGGGTGGAGCACAGCATTTAAAGATCGAACTGCAAGGACTCTGGCACAAGCCAGTCAAGGTGGTCCCAGTGGTGATTGGCACACTGGGTGCAGCGCCTAAAGACCTTGGCCTGCACTTAAACGCAATCGGCACTGACAAAATTACCATCTTCCAGCTGCAGAAGGCCACTTTACTGGGAACTGCACGCATTATTCGCCTATACATCACACAGTCCTAGACATTTGGGAAGTGTTCGACATGTGATCCAATGCAACAACCAGCAGAGTGATCTTGTCTGCTGCTGACTCAACTTGTGTTTCAAATAATAACACTTTATTTATATTCCACCCTTCTCAGGCCAAAGGGGACTCGGGGTAGATCACAGCACGCATACACGGCAAACATTCAATGCTGCTTTTGTATCGACAATACACAGACAGACAGAACAGAAAGGAGGTGTTTGTTGACTCAGTGTCCAGCTGTTTTTTGTTTGTGTGTTTGTTTGTTTTGGTGCCAAGGAAGGTGACTCCAGCCACAGGGGGTGCTGTTGCTCCATTATCTATGGCCAGGCATGTAGCCGGGGGGGGGGGGGGGGGGCTTGGGGGGCTTCAGCCCCCCCCCCGAAATTCTCATGGTGGTCCGCGAGAAGGCCTTACTGGTACATTATTTAAACTGTTATGTTTATTCATATCATGATCTGATCACCATGCTCAATATATCCCATATGCATGGGGGTATTGGGGTAAAGATACAAAAGGTTTGCTAGGGTAGACCCTCTTTCACTCAGACTCACCCCCCCCCCCGAATCATACTCAGCTCCCCCCGAAACAAAATCCTGGCTACGGGCCTGTCTATGGCAAAGAGCCGTCAGGACTTCCTTTTTAGTCACCCAGCATTTTCTGATCTTCTTTCTTTATGGCGTCGTAAAACACCTCCCCTGCTTTTACCGGTACCTAATTTCTCTAATTACAGCTAGAAGCCTTCATCAAGCTATAACTCCTTTCCTGGGCTTATTTTGAATGGTCATGGAGGCAGTTTTGGACCAGAGAGTAGGCATATCCTTAGAGGCACACTGTACCAGATATTGTACTGAAATTTGCAGCTCTTTGAAGAACAAAACTGACAGTGAGATCCAGGAGACTCAGTACAAAGAATATTGACAGCCTTATTTCTCTAGCTTCTTCTCCACAGATGCTGGTCACTTCATGTACTTTAATACCAGTTGTGGTAAGCAAGGAGATACGGCTGTCTTAGAATCACGGATATTGCATCCAACGAGGAATTATCAGTGCCTACAGTTCTTCTTCAAAATGACAGGAAGCTCCCAGGACAGGCTTGCTGTCTGGATTAAAAAAGACGATGGCACCGGAAAAATTCGCAGGCAGATTAAAGTTCGAACTTTTCAAGGTAATTTTTTTAAATTAAAAATTTAGATCATTGTAAGCAAATCACTTATGTGATTTGCTTGCAGAACACACAGGCTCATAATGGTTTTGGTGGATACATATTATTTTAGGGCTGCTTCACATGTTATTCTCTCCCAATAAAACAGACTCCCAGTTATAAATGCCCAGTCTTTTGGTCTCCTGATAATATTTTTGTTTAATGCAGTGGTTCTCAACCTGTGGGTCCCCAGGTGTTTTGGCCTACAACTTCCAGAAATCCCAGAAAGTTTACCAACGGTTAGGATTTCTGGGAATTGAAGGCCAAAAACACTTGGGAACCCACAGGTCGAGAACCACTGCTTTAATGGATTGTTTTGCTTTTACGTCTTGTGGGCATTTTGACCCATATGTAAGCTGCCCCGAGCCCCTTCGGGGAGATGGTGGCGGGGTATAAGAATAAAGTTGTTGTTGTTGTTTAAAGGCTGTTTTTAAAAGTGGGTAACAGCCCCCAAATTTGATAAGGTTAGTTTCACACATTACATTTTAAGATCTGGTGTTTATTGTAATGTTGTGCCATCACGCCTGGGGGCTATAGCTCTTAGTGAAAGAGGCATGGACGTGACATCTTTCCCCAGGGGATTGCTTCTTGCCCTCCTTTAGGAAACTGGAACTCCCAAAGACCCAAAACACTGTAAATAACTCAAAATAAGATGTATTGTTCACAAAGAGTTATTTCTTTAAAGCAATGAGCTGGAAACTTCACAGGGGTGAAGGAAAATATACATTACAGTCTCAGTTAGTCCTGGGTCCAAGGAGTTTGAAGCTGAGAAGCCTTTCCAAGTTTCCTCTTTCCTCAATGGCTGTGAATGCCAGAGCAAACCACAACCCCAGTTCAAATGGCCTATGTTTGAAGACTCAGGATCTTACTCTGGTGCCAAAAGAACCGGTTTGAAGGCGCTTGAGACTTCCAACGTCGTTCAGGTTGGTCTGAACATGAAGCATAAGTCTCAAGGGTAAAAAAACCCTCAGAATTGGTGCTGAGAGGTAATTTAATCAGGGTCTTTTAGAGTCAAGTCTCTTACTCACATCCATCTGATAGAAACCTTGATGGCAGAATGAAAGGGGAAGCACTCCCCTCCTCCAGGAAGAGGTGGAGCCAAACAATTGAGCTGAGAAAGCAATTCAACTGGTGCAAACAACATTGATTGACAGCTATAAATAACCAATCAATCCAACTATACATAAGCAGGTTAAAAAGGCAGGATTAAGCATGATACAACAGTTTAAATCTTGCAACTAATAGTTCTACACATAGGTGGCGCCACTCGCGCCATCACAAATGTTATTTTGTTATTGTATTCATATGTTTTTTTGTTTCGTTTATGTTTTGGTTGTATTTTGATGTAATATGTTGTCCGGGCTTGGCCCCATGTAAGCTGCTCCGAGTCCCCATTGGGAAGATGATGGCGGGGTATACATTATTATTATTATTATTATTATTATTATTATTATTATTATTATTAAACTTTGTCATGCAAAAAAGCATTGGAAACTGTAGATTGAGGTTGCTTAGACTAAGAAGGATTGTAGACATGCTGACAACTTTCCTAAGTTATATTTCTTATATCTTCTTCCATAGGAGACAATGACCATAACTGGAAAATTGCCCATGTGAATCTCAGATGTCAAAAAAAGTTCAGATTTCTCTTTCATGGGCTAAAAGGCAATCCAGATGACTCAAACGGAGGAATTTTTATTGATGATCTGACCCTGAGTGAAACACACTGCCCCACAGCTGTGTGGCTTATTCGTGACTTCTCTCACCTTCTTACAACAGCTTCTGAGGACTTCTCCATGAGCAGTCCCCGGTTTTATAGCCCTGAAGGTTATGGTTATGGCATAAGTTTGGCTCCCAGAGGGCCAAGAGATTCTGCCTTTGCTAACTACACACGTATTTCTTTTCACTTGATTAGTGGTGAAAATGATGGTATTCTTGAGTGGCCAGCTTTGCACAGACAGGTTACCATCACTCTGCTTGACCAAAATCCCAATGCTAGGGAAAGGATGTCCGCAGAAAGGAGCTTCACAACGGATGCAACACAGGTCTTCCCAGGTATGTAGCAGTCCCTGGACAGGGTAGAACTTGCTCACTGCTCCAAAACAGAGTCTTACAGAAGTCTACCTTCACATTCTTGTTAGATAGCCAAGTCTTCATTTCCTGAATTGGTATTAAAGATTCTCCAGGTAATCCCTGGTTCTTGTTGCAGGATTTGCAAGAGAACCTCTTTGGCCACGTTGGAGATGTGGTTAAGAAGGTTATGTTAGTGCTCTTTCCAACAGTGTGATTGATTTTTTTTTAATCCTTCAGAAGTTTGGTTACATCTGATGAACGTAGAGGGTGTATGCCATGATTTGTTGTGGCTTAAAAGAATGCTCGAGCATCAAAGTGTTGGATTTCTTGAGCCTTTTTTGTCCACCAGATGTTCTTTTTTGGACTTCAGCTTTTGCACTCGCTTAGCTCTTTTTTTTAGCAGCACAGTTGGTGTCTCTCTACCATATTTGGAAGGTTTTTCTTTTCATATAGATTAACTGTTGAATCTCGTTATCATTTTCATCAAACCAGTCTTGATGTTTCTTAGTTTGGTACCAATGGATTCTTCAAAATAATAACGAGATTCAACAGTTTTTAAAATAAATAAATAAATAAACCTGTTGAATCTCATTATTTTCATCAAACCAGTCTTGATGTTTCTTAGTTTGGTACCAATAGATTCTTCACAGACTATGATGTTGGAGGTCTTCAGTTTATTCCAATGTTCCTCATCATTTTTAGGGTGTTTGGTGGGTAGTTGATCCCTGAGTGTTGATTGGAGAAGGGCTCATTTAGAGGGTTCTTGAAGGGCTTGGGTGTTCATTTTATGCCTTATCTTTCTTCCTTGGAGTCTGCATTTGGGGGTGATCTTGATGGCCATTGTGGATCAAATTAACCTGTGGTCTGTCCAGCAGTCACCAGCATCGGTCATGGCTCTTGTGAGGAGTAAATTGCTGCAATCTTTGGCACGTGTAGTCTAAGATGTGCCAAGGCTTTAGCTGGGGGCGCTTCTGTTGTGTCCTAAGCTTGTTTTTCTGGCAGAAGAGTGTGTTTGTGATGACAAAGTTGTGTTCCAAAAAGCACAAATCCACTCTTTTTGCTACGGTTGTATAATCACTGTGTAAACCACAGTTTGTAATTCATTATATACTGCTGTAATCCACACTATATAGATTTGTTGTTTGTTCAATGTTGCATTATATTAGCTAAAAGAATATATTTACCTTTGTGTTTTGTGTACCACAACTTTTAGTGGATTTGTGCTTTTTGTGATTGTGGGAATCTATTGTCTTTTGTGTTTATTGCAAAGTTGTGTTCCACACATTTGGTGCGAAGTAGGATGCCATTCGGGTTGCTATTTCCAACCCCATCTTTTCCTATGGTCCCTGGCCACAAGTCCAAATCTTGTCCAACTTTTGCATTAAAATCTCCCAAAAGGATGATTTTGTCCTCCTTAGGTATCTCCAATAAGATGATGTCCATCTGGCAATAAACATTTTCCTTCATCTAGTGTTTCTGCATAGGCTGTTATGATAGTTACCTGCTGGATTTTGTCAAGATTAATTTGGAGGGATGAGAATCATTTGTTAATGCTGATGGGTGCTTCGGACAGAGGCTTCACCAGGTTGTTTCTGATAGCAAAGCCAACTCAGTGTATTCTTCATTCTAGTTCAGCCAATCCCTTCCAGAAGAAGGTGTAGTCTCCTTTTTTAAAACTTCGGCTGTCCCTCTCCTGCTCTCCTGGTCTTTTGAAATGTTGCTTTATATGTTTTGGATCATTTTGCAGAAAAAAACAATTCTTCCAGATGGGGGAAACCCTCTCTTCTTGGCAAGTTTGACGCTTCATGCAACTGCAGTCGGAGTGGAGGCTGGGGATGGAGTAAATTTATCTCCCATGCACAGTTAAGGAGAAAGAATTACATGAAAAATGGCAACATTATTATCTTTGCAGAGTTTGAAGGTATGCAAATATCTTTTTTAAATGGAGTGGGTTACTTTTCAAACTTTGTTTGCTTCCTCTCTCTGAAATATGCAAAAATCTGCCAGAATGTAACTGCTCCCCCTCCCCATATTGTTGCTAGCCAGAGGGATGGGTATGTACTAGGGGGTTATTGTACAGCTGACAAGAAGGAGGAAGAGTGGAAGTACTCTGGGTTGGAGTTTGGTGATCCATCAGAGCAATTTCAGGATCTTGACTGTTCATTCTCTCTTTTTGTTGAATATATGCATATGTATGTATGATGTGTCTGCATGGAGGGAATCATAATGGCATTTTCAGAATTGGATCGAGGTTGAGTCTCCTCTCTAGAGGTTTTCAAACAGAGGCTGGGTGGCCATCTGTTGAAGGTGCTTTGACTGAGTTTTCCTACATGGGAGAGGGCTAGATCTGTGATCATCATCAAACCACATTTTGCATAAGAACTGAAGGTAGTTAAAATTCTACTTTAAAATACAACCCTTTTAAAAACTCAAATTGCAGGCATGAAATCATGATCAGAGCAAATGAAATAAGAAATAATACAGCTAAACAAAACCAGACATCTATATAAATAAAAACGTAATGTTTGTTTGATTAACAGAACTCAAAAACCACTGGACAAATTGACACCAAATTTGGACACAAGACACCTAACAACCCAATGTATGTCCTTCACTCAAATAATTGATTTTGTCATTTGCTGGGATTTATAGTTCACCTACAATCAAAGAGCATTCTGAACCCCACCAACGATAGAATTGAACCAAACTTGACACACAGTTCTCCCATGACCAACAGAAAATACTGGAAGAATTTGTTGGGCAGTGTACCTTGGTTTTGGAGTTGTGGTTCACCTACATGCCAAGATCACTGTGGATTCAAACATTTATGGATCTGGACCAAACTCTACACGAATACTTAACGTGCCCAAATGTGAACACTGGTGGGGTTTGGGGAAAATGGAATCTTGACATTTGGGAGTTGTAGTTGCTGGGATTTATAGTTCACCTACAATCACAGAGCATTCTGAACTCCACCAATGATGGAATTGGGCCAAACCTCCCACACAGAACCCCCATGTGGGCCACAGCAACACGTCGCAGGGCTAGTATAAAATAAAATGCTTGTTTTACGAAACACACACACACACATATATATACACACTCCCACCTAAAACCAAAAGCATGGGGAAACCTAACTTTTCAGAGAAACCTTATCGATGTCTAAGCTTTACTGTTTTTATTGCTGCTCTTTGTTAATGCATTCAATAAAATTAAATTGTCTGGTCATTTAAAATATGAAATGCATGCTTTCAGTGCATTTTTAAAATTGAAAATGTTTGTCCCACTTGTTTGGATGATCCTCCTTCTTTCTCTTTGAATAAGATTTAACACATCTCAGGAAGACTGAACATGTCCCTCCCCAAACTTGGCCCATCGATGAAAACCCTCCTTTGGGAAAGAAGAAGAGGTCAGCCCACCTGAAAGACTGGCAGCTCCATCTAAGAGAACACTGTGATCCAAACCCATGTCAGAATGGAGGCATCTGTTTAAACAACAACGGAGATGCAAGCTGCAGGTATCCAGCATAATTTTTGCTTGCCATTCCCCACTCTCATTTGTATGTCATTATAGTGTAATCAACTCACATGCCCATTGTTTACTGCGACTGTGTTTTTTGTTTATTGTAATGTTACTTTTTTCATGTAATTTTGATGGTGTTGCTTGTTTATGTTTTGGTTTTATTTTGATGTAATATGTTGTTCGGGTGTTTGGTGGTCCCTATGTAGACTTGTCCACAGCTGCATGGTACACGGTAGACTCCTGCAGAAGTGAGAGGATCCCTCTTGTCCTTTGCTGAATGTAATCCGCAAACCAGATCAACAATTGGGTCACACCGTTTACAGAAAATCCTCTCACTTCTGCAGGAGTCTACCGTGTACCATTCAGCTGTGGACAAGTCTACATAGGGACCACCAAACGCAGCATTGCCCAAACACGAATCAAGGAACATGAAAGGCACTGCAGACTCCTTCAAGCAGAGAAATCAGCCATAGCAGAGCCCTTGATGAACCAACCTGGACACAGCATATTATTTGAGAACACAGAAATGCTGGACCACTCTCACAACCACCATGTCAGACTACGTAGAGAAGCCATTGAAATACACAAGCATGTGGACAATTTCAACAGAAAGGTGGAAACCATGAAAATGAACAAAATCTGGCTACCAGTATTAAAAAAAACTCTAAAATTAGAACAGCACAACAACAGAGAGGAAACAAACAAGGACAGCTAATTACTTCTCAACAAAAGTTTGCTCCAGGCACTGTCAGGCCATTATATGCTAATCAAGGTGGTCAGTTGAAACATTCACACCTAGCTCCAGCAGACAAGAGTCCTTTGTCTCACCCTGGTCATTCCACAGATATATAAACCCTTTTTCTTAGTTCCAACAGACCTTGGAACGCTGCTTGCCATAGATGCAGGCGAAACGTCAGGAGAGAATGCCTCTAGACCATGGCCATGTAGCCCGAAAAAACCTACAACAACCCAGTGATTCCGGCCATGAAAGCCTTCGACAATACATTGAACATCTGTAGAATATTTTGAGCCTGTTTTCTTTCATTTCTGTCGAATATGTATATTTTATTCTTTTCTTCCATATTTCTTCCCATTTGTTAAACCTAATTGATCTGCCAATATTAATTGACCATTTGATCATGCATTCTTTTACATTTTCTGTTTCCGTAGCCCAACCTAGCAATTTATTATAAATTTTTGATATTGATTTTTTTAATAAGTTATTTTCCATTTGCAGATGCAACTTTTCAAAGTGATGGGAGAAGCCACTCACTTTCCCCTTTTCTTTACAGATGTGCTACAACCAAAATCTTCCTTTACACAGGGGCAAGATGCCAGGTCGTCCATGTCAACTGGAACACCCTTGGCTTGCTGCTTGGTGCAGCTGCTGGAACCGTTATACTTGCTATAATATCTGTTGCCATTGTCGCTACAAGATGAAGACCTTCTCAGAGTTTTGGCTTCAGTGCGATTTCAGAAATGTCATTTTTATTTCATGAGTTCATGCCTCACCTCTTGCTTCCAAGCTGGATTTTTTTTTAAAAAAAAATGTAGGATGTGAACCTAGAATGTGAACTGTATGGCCGTCCAGAGATTGTTGATTTGCATCACCTTGCCATTGACTCTGCTAGCTAGGACTGATGGGAAGTGCAGCCTAACAATATTCAGAGGACTGTATGATTTCTACACTTGCTGTATTCACATATCTGGGAGCAGGTTATACTTAAAGCAGTGGGACATACTTCTGAAGAGACCTGTCAGAAGGCCATGAGGAGGGGTGTCCTTTTGTACCCTCCTTCTCCCAAATTCTTTGGCACCTGTTCTTTACAGGTGTTGTCCTTACAAAGAAAGTTAACAGGAAAAAGAAATAACTGGTGAAAATGCCTTCCACCTTGCTATATAAATTACAGGGTGGGTTATATAATAGGAATGGGCAATCCATGGTTCTAAATGGTTCTAAAGTACTTACAAACTACAGTTCTGCTGGTAAAACTAGGGGGCACTGGTGCTTTGCTTCTACAGTAGCGTTTCTCAACTTGGGGGTCGGGACCCCCGGAGGGGTCATGAAGGTGTGTCAGCGGGGTTGCCAAAAACCATCAGAAAACACAGTATTTTCTGTTGGTCATGGGGGTTCTGTGTCGGAAGTTTGGCCCAATTATATCATTGGTGGGGCTCAGTATGCTCTTTGATTGTAGATGAACTATAAATTTCAGCAACTACAACTCCCAAATGTCAATGTCTATTTTCCCCAAACTCCACCAGTGTTCACATTTGGGCGTATTGAGTATTCATGCTAAGTTTGGTCAAATCCATCATTGGTTGAGTCCACAGTGCTCTCTGGATGTAGGTGAACTACAACTCCAAAACTCAAGGTCAATGCCCACCAAACCCTATCAGTACTTTTTGTTGGTCATGGGATTTGTGTGTGCCAAGTTTGGTTCAATTCCGTCATTAGTGGAGTTCAGAATGCTCTTTGATTGTAGGTTAACTATAAATCCCAGCAACTATAACTCCTAAATGACAATATAAATCCCTCCCAACCCCACCAGTATTCAAATTTGGGTGTATAAAGTATTTGTGCCAAATTTGGTTCAGTGAATGAAAATACATCCTGCATATCAGATGTTTACATTACGATCCATAACAGTAGCAAAATTACAGTTGTGAAATAGCAACAAAAATAATTTTATGTATTGTTGAAGGCTTTCATGGCTGGAATCACTAGGTTCTTGTGGGTTTTTTCGGGCTATAGGGCCATGTTCTAGAGGCATTTCTCCTGACGTTTTGCCTGCATCTATGGCAAGCATCCTCAGAGGTAGTAAATAAAATAATTTTATGTTTGGGGGTCACCACAACATGAGGAACTGTATTAAGGGGTTGCGGTGTTAGGAAGGCTGAGCACCACTGTTCTACAGTGTTGCTAAAGTTCTGGTGGTGAAAATTTCAGAACACTAACAAAACTTTCAAAATTGCATTATTATTTCATTATTGGCAATTTTTATGACAGAATCAATTAGGAACTGCCATTTATAATGAAATTTTGAAATTTTTGTTAGAGTTCTGAAATTTTCACCACCAGAACTTTAGCAACACTGCAAAAGCAAAGCACTAGTGCCCCCTAGTTTTCACCACCAGAACTTTAATTTTGTAAGTTCTTTAGAACCATTTAGAACCATGGATTGCCCATGCCTATTATATAACTCTGTCTTAAGGATGAGAAAGCACTTGAAATGCTACCCTGCAACTTCTTCCTGCCCAGCAGCCAGGTGCAAATGTGTATTAAATTTGCAACACAATATGCAGTGTACTGTTTACCTTTTCACCCAAAGTCAAAGGAACGGAGCTGTTTAAAAGTAACCGAGGAATCAGGGAGAAAGAACATTTGCAAGAAGATTGGATTCCTTTCTTAATGGCTTTCTGGCCTTTTTAGATATAATCTAAAATTGATTCTCATTTTTGAAAAATAGAGTTCATCTGCACCTATACCCCTTGTACATTGCTGGATGTGTTCACTGATGAACACTGCGACGTGGGTAGACCCTGCAAGACCTTTCAGGCCACTTGGAGATAAGAACTTTGAACTCACCACACAGGCACTCTCTAATGTCCCATCTGAAGCTGTACCTCATGTTCCAGGTACACCCCCAGTCTGGAACAGGATGAAAGATGTCCACTCCTGGGCGGTGAGTGGACACCTACTCCTTCCCATTGCCAATTACAGTAACATCTGAGGGCCCTTCCACACAGCCATAGAATCCAGAATATCAAGGCAGAAAATCCCACAATATTTGCTTTGAACTGGATTATCTGAGTCCACACTGGCATATATTCCAGTTCAGAGCAGATAAACTGGGATTTTATTCAGATGTGTGGAAAGGACCTGAATCTCTTCAGTTTGCTCTGTCTCACTTGAGGAATAGAACTACATAAAGCAACCCTTTTTACTACTTTTCTCCCCTTATGTTTTCTATCATTTTGATGGAATCTGCAGAGTTCACTTTACTGACTTCATACTTTCATCCATTTTTAAAAATGCATGTTGTCCCAAAGCCCTATATACTCCATTGGGATTTGATCTTGTTACCTAGGTCATGTTACCACATGACCTAGGAGGAATAAGGGCTCCATAACCCCCGGTGGCACAGTGGGTTAAACTGCTGAGCTGCCAAACTTGGTGACCAAAAGGTTGTAGGTTCGAATCTGGGGACCAGTGTGGGTTTCCACTGTTAGCCCCAGCTTCTGCCAACCTAGCAGTTTGAAAACTTGCAAAAGTGAATAGATCAATAGGTACCGCTCCGGTGGGAAGGTAACGGTGCTCCATGCAGTCATGCTGGCCACATGACCTAGGAGGCATCTATGGACACCGGCTCTTTGGCTTAGAAATGGAGATGAGCATCAGCCCCCAGAGTATGACTCGACTGGACTTAATGTCAGGAGAATTACCAACAATTGTTGTTGTTCATTTGTTCAGTCATTTCCAACTCTTTGTGACCTCATGGACCAGCCCACGCCAGAGCTCCCTGTTGGCCATCACCACCCCCAGCTCCTTCAAGGTCAATCCAGTCACTTCAAGGATGCCATCCATCTTGCCCTTGGTCGGCCCCTCTTCCTTTTTCCTTCCATTTTCCCGAATCATTGTCTTCTCTAAGCTTTCCTTTCTTCTCATGATGTGGCCAAAATACTTCATCTTTGCCTCTACTATCCTTCCCTCCAATGAGCAGTCGGGCTTTATTTCCTGAAGTATGGACTGGTTGCATCTTCTCGCAGTCCAAGGCACTCTCAGAACTTTCCTCCAACACAACAGTTCAAAAGAATCTATCCTCCTTCGCTCAGCCTTCCCTATGGTCCAGCTCTATGTTTTATATCCTGCTTTTGGATGTGAGAGCTAGACCATAGGGAAGACTGAGCGAAGGAATATAGATGCTTTTGAACTGTGTTGTTGGAGGAAAGTTCTGAGAGTGCCTTGGACAGCAAGAAGATCCAACCAGTCCATACTTCAGGAAATAAAGCCCGACTGCTCATTGGAGGGAAGGATAGTAGAGGCCAAGATGAAGTATTTTGGCCACATCATGAGAAGAAAGGAAAGCTTAGAGAAGGCAATGATGCTGGAGAAAATGGAAGGAAAAAGGAAGAGGGGCCGACCAAGGGCAAGATGGATGGATGGCATCCTTGAAGTGACTGGATTGACCTTGAAGGAGCTGGGGGTGGTGACGACCGACAGGGAGCTCTGGTGTGGACTGGTCCATGAAATCATGAAGAGTCGGAAATGACTGAACGAATGAACAACAATAGGTCTATCAATGGGTAGTCTACCTGTTGAAACAACAAGTGTGAACTGTATGCCTCTAGAACATGGCCATATAGCCCGGAAAACTTACAACAACCCTGTATGTATATAGTTACAAAATTCACATTTCTTTTAAATGAAAAAACAGACCAAATGACCAGAGGGCATTGCTTAGGGCAGGGCACTTTGCAAGCATTTTTTATTCAAGACCATTATAAATATATCTTTATATTAAATAACATTAATTTTAGTAAAGGAGGTGTAACTGGAAAAAAACCTGATAGTACAAAAATTAAAGTGCTTTTGATTGTATAGTGGACACTTCACATGATTGACACAGCTCTATCACATACAGACATATTGCTCTATATCATAAAAAGACATTTCACTAATTTCCAGTAGGTTTAGGACCACATTTGGAAATGAGGATCATGATGTGGAGTGCAGTCTCATACCCTGCCTTGGGAAAAATTCCCATGGAATAGAGGTTTATCTCTGAACTGACATACGTAGGATTCAATGGAGGTGCCTTAAACATTAGAAAAACTAAAATGCAAATGCCTCAGCCCAACATGTAAATAATAGTTATAGAAAACCCTATGTCAGTCTGGGCACATATTTTGATATAACTGAAGTAGATATCCCTCATTTATGAACCCTAAGTTAGGATCACCAGCTGTAATACACAACTATCAACCCATTTCCTCCATCTGTGGAATGAATGATTACCAACACCTTGGCTCAAAGAGGACATCCAACATCTTGCAGCATTGGAGCTCTAACATAAACATGGTACTGAAAGGAGTCACCTGTGCATCATTAGCTATGAAATAATATATTCAGTTAACAAATCATAGTTCAATGGAAAGTCAAATGTTTCATTATCGACTTCTTGTTTGTCGCTTAATCTGGATCTTTGAACCCTTATGCATGTGTTCATGTCAACAAAGAATATGCCTTTGAAGTACTTTCAGAAGACGAAGATGTTGGTTCTGTAGAAGAAACTTGATATTTTCCTGCAGAACAAAATAATATTGTACTCCGTTATTGTCAATATAAGGTATGAAATACTTCATATAGAACAATTGTACCTTTCTTCTTTTGGATATTCTAATGCCTGCATACTAAAATGCCATGACCAGAGCAAATCAAATTGTAAACAAAATGATATACTGAATAATAAGCTTTAAAAATATTAAAGGTAAAAGGTAAAGGTTTCCCCTTGATATTAAATCTAGTGCAGGGCTGTTGATGACAGGGTGACTTGGAGATCTCTCATTCCTAGGGTCCTTATAAGTCAAAGCTGACTTGCTCAAAATCAATGACAAAAAAGTCTACATGAATAAAAATGTAATGTTCAATGTATTGTCGAAGGCTTTCATGGCCGGAATCACTGGGTTGTTGTAGGCTTTTTCGGGCTATAGGGCCATGTTCTAGAGGCATTCTCTCCTGATGTTTCGCCTGCATCTATGCCATAGATGCAGGCGAAACATCAGGAGAGAATGCTTCTAGAACATGGCCATATAGCCCGAAAAACCTACAACAACACCTGCAGAAATTCTTTGCCATCTTTGAAGTCCTGATTTCAATGTCCATCTCAGTGTTATATATTAATTGGTCCATTCGTTGTAATGTAATTTTTGGTTTTTGGCTTTTTAAGTCTCTTCTGCTGTGATTTTCAGTGTTTTTATGAGTGATGGTCACTCTTTAGCCTGATAGGTGTATTGTGTCCAAATTTGGTATAAATCCAGCCAGTGGTTTTTGAGTTATGTTAATCCCACAAACGAACATTACATTGGGTTGTTGTAGGTTTTTTATACATATACACAAATATATACACACGAAAATACACACACAAAACACATATACACAGACTGGGCCACAGCAATGCGTTGCAGGGGACAGCTAGTCTCTCTCTCTCTCTCTCTCTCTCTCTAATGTTCGTTTGTGTGAGGCACATAACTCAAAAACAACTGGACAAAATGACACCAAATTTGGCCACAAGACACCTACTTACGCAAGGAGTGACCATCACTCAAAAAATCACCAAAAAATCACAAAAAGAACTTTAAAATCCAAAAAAGGTAGAAGACGACAAAGCGCAAGCATGCAAATGACTTCCCTGGCCCTGCCCCCTCCTTCACAAGGACACAGGAAGTGCGAGAGGCACCACCAACTATCCTCTCTCTTCCAGCCAGAGCAGGAGATAGGAACAATGATGTTTCTGGCGAGGGGGGGGAGCTTCATCCACCACCAGGGAAGGAAGGGAAGAGGGAGGGAAAGAAGAAGAGAAGCAAAGAAGGAAAGAGAGAAGGAAGGATGGAAGCAAATAGCAAAGGAAAGAAGGAAAGAAAGAGGTAGAGAAGGAAGAAAGGAGAGAAAGTAGAAGGGAAAGAAAAAGGGGAAGAAAGGGAAGGAGAAGAAGAGAAGGAAGGAAGGAGAGAAGGAAAGAAAAATGGAGAGAAAGAAGGAAAGAGGGAGGAAGGAAGGAAGGAAGGAAGGAAGGAAGGAAGGAAGGAGAAGGAAGAGGAAGGAGAGAAGAAAGAAAGAAAGAAAGAAAGGAAGGAAGGAAGGAAGGAAGGAAGGAAGGAAGGAAGGAAGGAAGGAGGGAAAGAAGGAAAGAGGGAGGGAAGGAAGGACAGAAAGAAAGAAAGAAAGAAAGAAAGAAAGAAAGAAAGAAAGAAAGAAAGAAAGAGGGAGGGGAGGTTGGCCACAAAAACATGTGGCGGGTACAGCTAGTAATGTATATAAAGATCCTATGCTCTGTGCATTCGAAAATTCAGTTTATGAGAGAATCTAAAAATTACACAAGGATATTGCATGTTAATCATCTAAGGCTTCTTGTGACTTACCTGCTTTGCCAAACAAGTTGTTTAAAGTTTTTGAAAAGGGGGAACTGATGGAAAGCATAGGCGCTGACATGCCCTGGGATGTTGACTGCAAGATGAAAAAACGTATTAATAAAAAGTTAGTATTTTCAACAGAACTTGGGTTGTGTTATTGTTACTTATCATATTGTTGATGGAAGTAAGCCACACCCAGATCAATGAGACCTACTTTTAAATATATCTATCAATGATAACATGATACGTAATTCCAGAAAACAATACTGAGAAACTCTTCTCATGTTTTCATTTGCAAGATATACTGTGAAAGTACTTCCTCAAAGAAAAGAAAGGGGAATTCTAGAGAAAGAGTTTCATTTCACGCATTGATTTTTTTTATTGTGTCTGAACAGACTTGAGTAACTGCAAGTTGCTTCTGGTGTGAGAGACTTGACCATCTGCAGAGACGTCCAGGGGACACCTGTGGGAGACTTCTCTCATGTCCCATATGGGAAGCTGGAGCTGACAGACGGGAGCTCCTCCCATCTCACAGATTCAAACAGCTGACCTTCAGGTCAGCAGTTCAGCTGGCACTAGATGCACCACCCGTTGCATCTAGTGAAGGGATGGGAATCACATGACCCTCCAGACAGTAGGGCACCTCAGTTCCCAGCATTCCTCACCATGATCTATAATGGATAAACTACTGGGATTTCAAGTCCAACAACACCTGAAAGGCTACATGTTTTTCTTCCCTGCTCTTGTGTGTGTGTGTGTGTGTCAGGAGCGACTTGAGAAACTGCAACTTGCAGCCCCTGCTCATGAAAGGTAGCCTTTGCATGAGAAGCTGACATTTTCTGCAATCAAAATGGAACATTTGGACCCAACCCTTTTTTCATCTCTATACAGAATTTTACCTTTGTTTGCTGTGAACTCCATCTGGAAAGAGGAACTTTATTCAGCACAGCCTCTCGTACCTACATGATTGAAACAAGAAGAATTAAATCCATGATCTAGTCCTATTTACAACTTAACTGAATCAAATACAAATTAAAAATTAATTATCATCCTACCTTTCTATCCCAGAGAGTTCCACAGAGGAAAACGAATAATCCCTGAAAAATACTTGCAGGTTAGAATTGCATAAATTATCCTAGATACTCATGTACAAATAAACACATCCTAAAGGCTTTCTAGGATCACTCTAGACAAAGGAAGAACAACATTTCTTAACTCCGACACATGAAAAAGAAAGGAAAAATTGATATCGATGCATCAGTGGAACTAGTCTCAAAAACTTGGCAAAGGACACAAACTTATTGGAATATAAACTCATTTACACACACAAAGCTGTTCTTCAGGCCAAATGAGAAAACACAACTACTATGCATTTGTGATGGATCAGGGCCGATTAAGTGAAACTGACCAGCGCTCGAGTGATTTTTGAATCTGAAAATTTCTTAGACCATGGAATATATATCATTATATTTCCAGTTAATTTCTCCTCAAAACTGAGGTATACATTGATTTGATAGCACGTTATACTTGAGCAATGCTACAATCTATCATGGAGATTAAGGTCTTTCGTGGAGGCTCTGCTCTCACTCCCGCCTCCTTTCACAGGTGCAGTTGGTGGGGACAAGAGACAGGGCCTTCTCAGTGGTGACCCCTGGCTATGGAACTCACTTCCCAGGAAAATCAGGTCAGACCCCTCCCTCTTGGCCTTCAGTAAAAAAAAGTGAAGGCTTAGTTTTGGGACCATGCCTTTGATCAATGAATTAATGCAGTGCTAGAAATTGATATGGAATTTGCGCAATGCAACAATTGGAATGGCTCTGGAGTACGACTTTGGACTGCGTGGTTTTTAAGGGTTGCTGCTAAGATGTTTTAAATTCTTTTTCTTTTAATGTAATTGTCTATTTTAATCGATTGCTTGTTTTATAAGGCATCAAATTGTTGCCAACCGGTAAGTCCCCTTCGAGATGAGAAAGGCAGGGTATAAATGTGGTAAATAAATAAATACAATCAACATACTGTGGAAATTATATATTCTTGGGGGGGGGGGGAATAACAGTGGCATTGCTAGTGATGCATGAACTCTAACTGCTTATATCAGGTTAGTTTAGAAAGATGATGAGTTAGTTCTGAAAGGGTCTTTGAGTGAAATTAGCAAAGCTAAGAAAGGGGCTTTGAATGAAATTAGCAACAAAGGAGAAAGGTACCCTTTCTCTATAAAAAAAGGAGAAACACGGAAGAAAATGTTTAAAAAAGCAAGAGGTGACATGTAGAGGTCATACAAAGTTCGGTTGTGGTTATGTACAAAGGTTGTGGTTAAGTACTAAGTCTGCAGGTGCAAGAAGGCACTTTCCATCAAGAGGTTGATGGGACAGGAAGAATAAAGGTCAAAGTACTTTCCATGACAAAAAATATTCTTTTTTACTTGAGGATATATAAAGGTTTACAAAAGCTGAGGGGGTGGGGGGCGGCAGTCTGTAGAAGCACATGCAAAAGTGCTGTCTGACCACCTCATGCTGATCAGCTTGAATAAATGGTGTCTTACATGAACCTATTGGACTCTGTGGATTTCTTCGAAAGGGGACCCCACACCCTAAACCCGTGATCCCTTACAGTTCCAGAACTTTGAGGGAAGGATAACAATCCCAGGACTCTAATGGTACATCTACACTGTAGAATTAATGCAGTTTGACATCACTTTAATTGCTATGGCTCAATGCTGTAGAATCCATGGGTATTGTAGTTTCACCAGTGATGGCGCATTACTAAACTACAACCAACTGGATTCCACAGCAGTATGCCATAACAGACCAAAGCAGTATTAAACTGCTTTAATTTTACAGCTTCATCGAATGTTACCAGATTAAAAGGGAGACCCTGTGCAAATCATTTCTTGCATCCCCAATAAAACAATGGCATGTGTGCTGGTACAGCTGTACGAGGAGCTCCAATTTTGTTTGCTTTGCATTGAATGTTTCTTATAGTCCTAAGTTTCAGGGACTCTGAAGATAGGTGGCTTCTTTTGGCTGGAATCATAGGGCAAGCCACCTGTCAATTATAGTTAGGTTCCCTGGTCCCGCCCCCTTTTGGATTTTTGGAGGGAATAGGAGCCTTTTTGGGTTCAGTCCTCACTGAGAAGTCTTTCGCACAGGACATAAAACGAAGAGCTCCTGTAGAAATCTTCGTCTTCTACGGCTTGGCCGGGAGACATACAGCTTTACAGCTTGGCCGGGGAGAAAAGGCTCTACAGCTTGGCCAGGGTTATACAGCCCACAGCTTGGCCGAGGATCATACAGCCTTACAGCTCCTTTGCTGAGGGACTTCAGCCAGCCATCACCTAAACCTGAACTCCTTCTTTTCCCCTGGAAGTCTACAAAGCTCTGCTTGGTAAGGGTCGCTCGCGGAAGCCAGACACAGTTGGTACAGGGTGCAGGGGCTCCACGCCAACAGAGGCAAAGACAGACTGCCCAAATTAGAAGTTAAGGATTTCCCCATTAGTTACAGTTAAGAAGATAGTGCCTGTTCCCTGTGGACAAGATTGAAAGAGCCTATAGACTGTTAAGAATGCTTTAAAGTACCTGTTTGTTTTCATCAATAAAGAACTTTGTTGGACTTACTTTAAGCCTCTACAGAACTTTGTTTTGGGGAGGTCCAAGGGCCTGTAATCTGAGGCAGCCCCGGCATCCCGTTGGGCACACAGAATTTATTCCCTGTCTACAGTCATATGCACAGGCCCAGCGTGCGACAGAACAGCATGTGCATCCTGATAGATCTCAAGACAACTGTGACATTTTGTCTGCTACATGTAAAAAAATAGCTGGTATCTACTTACCTGAAAAGCATTGAAAATGGTAAATAATATGTGGAATATGCATGGGCTTCCTGGTATAACTGTGGCAAGACCAAATCCCCATGTAAGTCCTAACAAGGGTGTTAGAACACCAATACTCTTGGCGATCCGATACAAAGATTTCTTTTCTTCACTTATTGATTTTTCCCCAATGGAACGTCTTGATATTTTGGCTATAACCACGATCGTAACTATAGCATTAATAGCAACAATGACCACAGCCGGAATGACTAAGGCCAAAAGAGCTCTGCTCTCTTCCCAGTTGAGCAAACAGATATCTTTTTTTGTGTAAGTCCCAGACGAAATCGTACTGGCTATTGTGATGACTGCTATAGCCAGAGGGCAAAGGTATCCCAAGCCAAAACCGACACTTTTCATGAGAGTCTTGCTTGCATTATGTAAAATGAAGACCAGGTGGTAGAAGAGCATAAGGCCCAAAGTGAGCATCCAGAAGAAGACACAGAGGTAGAAATAGTGAGTGAAGAAAGTTGCTGCAATGCAAATTGGCCGATCTAATTTATCATTTCTGCTATGTATTATTGCAACAACCAGGAACCAGAGATCTGCAATGAGGAGAGACATTGCAATGTTCAGAATACAAACATGGCGTATGTAAGATATTCTTGTTTTGGTGACTGATTTCCAGACAATAAGTTCAATTCCAATGCAGGCCACCAGGCTCAGTATTGAAATACCCAAGCCAATGTATGTCAAGTAAGTCAGTGGCAGGGCGTCGTTGCATGGGTCCTCATGGCTAGGAGACATCAACACGGAGAATGACGTCAGGTGGTCACAAGTGCAAATGATATCATCCCCATCCTCTCTGCTTTCACATCCTGCGCTATCCCAGCCGCCTCCATCTGCTGTGAAATTAAAATTCCAAAAGACACACTGTGGATTTTGTAGGGTTTTTTCACGCTTTGTAAACACCATATTGATCTGGAAATCTTCCTTCAGTTTGTTGTTGTCACTCACTACAGTTGAGAGAACCAAACCATTGATTACTGGTCCTGCTGTCTTATTGGACTGAGCAATAATATGGTCCAAAGTTGAGTAAGCCACGCTGATGATGGTGAAAGCTGATGTCTCATTTTCAAGTTTGGGTTCATCGATTAGAACGCCGCCACTAAGCCTTGAGGGTTCTGAAAATGTAAAACTCTTGTTATAGTCTTCTCCTTGATCAACAACTGCTCCTTCAAGTTGAATGTTGCCATAGCTGACTGGAGGAATTGTGTTATTGACAGGTTGGAGGGACCTTGAAAATTGCTCCACTGAATCTAGTAGTTGAGAGCTTCCATTCTTAAAATCATTCCATGTTCCTGTTGGAGTACTCATAATGGTATCTACCGTGGACAAAAAATTCTGCAATAGTGAGAAAACAATCAATCATTACCAAACTTGAATAACAGAATTGGGATTGTATATAAAACAATGGTTCCCTATCAGTTTACCCAAATCCACCAAATCCTTACATTTCATGGTTTGGGACCATCCTACCTGCGTGACCATATCTCCGTTTATGAACCCACGCGCTCACTTTGTTCATCCGGAGAGGCCCTGCTCATGATCCCGCCAGCGTCGCAGGAGCGTTTGGTGGGGACGCGAGACACGGCCTTTTCTGTGGTGGCCCCCAACTCTGGAACACCCTCCCCAAAGATCTTAGACAGGCCCCTACATTGGCAGTTTTTAGAAAGAACTTGGAGACCTGGCTGTTCCGATGTGCCTTTCCAGAATAGGAATTCCAATAACAAGTCCCAGAAGCACTTTATTAGAACTAAGATTGCTGCACTCTGCACACTGCACTTACCCTATAATCCTTACATATCACCTGTCACATCCTCACTTTTAATCCTGTACCCATTACTCTGGCCCGGCCCAGTTTTATTGTGTTTTGGTGTATTGTTTATTGCTTGTTATTTAATATTGCTTTAATTGTTTTTAATTTGCTTTAGGTGTTGCATTGTTGTGTTGTGTTTTGAGGCCTTGGCCTTTGTAAGCCGCATCGAGTCCTTCGGGAGATGCTAGCGGGGTACAAATAAAGTTAATAATAATAATAATAATAATAATTATTATTATTATTATTATTAAGTACAGATATTAGTTTTAAAGGAACAATTTATTATTGGGTTTTTGTAGGTTTTTTCGGGCTATATGGCCATGTTCTAGAGGCATTCTCTCCTGACGTTTCGCCTGCATCTATGGCAAGCATCCTCAGAGGTAGTGAGGTCTGTTGGAACTAGGAAAATGGGTTTATTTATCTGTGGAAAGACCAGGTTGGGACAAAGGACTCTTGTCTGCTGGAGCTAGGTGTGAATGTTTCAACTGACCACCTTGATTAGCATTTGATAGCCTGGCAGTGCCTGGAGCAATCTTTTGTTGAGAAGTGATTAGATGTCCCTGATTGTTTTCCCTCTGCTATTTTGCTGTTTTAATTTTAGAGTTTTTTTAATACTGGTAGCCAGATTTTGTTCATTTTCGTGGTTTCCGCTTTTCTATTGAAATTGTTCACATGCTTATGGATTTCAATAGCTTCTCTGTGTAGTCTGACATGGTGGTTGTGAGAGTGGTTCAGCATTTCTGAGTCCCACTCTGGTCTTTCCACAGATATATAAACCAATTTTCCTAGTTCCAACAGACCTCAATACCTCTGAGGATGCTTGCCATAAATGCAGGCAAAACATCAGGAGAGTTTTGACTACTGTAAGACCAAAAGATTTTGTTGTTGTTATTGTTGTTGTTATCCTGTCAGTCTGCCAGATTACCCAAAGGCCTGGTCCCATATCCATGTTTTTAATTTCCTTCTAAAAGAGAGGAGGGATGACGATGATCTAATTTCCCTGGTTAGTGAATTTCATAGGCGGGAGGTCACCACCGAGAAGGCCCTGTCCCTCGTCCCCGCCAGTCTTGTTTGTGACAAGGGCGGGGCTGAGAGCAGGGCCTCTCCAGAAGATCTTAAATTCCTAGGCGGGACGTAGAAGGAGATACGTTTGGACAGGTACGCTGGGCCGGAGCCACATAGGGTTTTATAGGTCAAGACCAACCACAATAACAACAACAAAATTGTATTGTATTGCACTGTATTAATTGTTTGTTTTAATCTTTTGTGTTATTGCTATTGCGTTTTATTGTAACTGTTGGCATCGAATTGTGCCGAATTGTAAACCGCCCTGAGTCCCCCCCTAGGGGGTGAGAAGGGCGGGGTAGAAGTGACCGAAATAAATAAAAAAAAACAACAAATCTTTATTTATATCCTGCTTTTCTCCCTCAGGGACCCAAAGCAGCTTACAAAGTATTAAAATCATGTAAACAAGAATCCTAATACATCGATAATAAGTATAAAACATCATAAAATAACAATTTAAACCAACAAAAAAATTGATGTCTTTAATGGACTATTTCTTTCTATATCACTGAAAATAATCCTGCCAAGCAGAATGGATCATCCACAATGAGGAGCCTATGCTGAACTGCTAGACATATTTGGTTTTTGGCATACCGAGCAAATAAAACTGTACACACCCGATTTCTCTTCCATTCTTACATTCCTACCATTTTCTATTTCCAGCTGCAAAAAACCAACCATTTGTTTCCTTATCCCTCTCTTAATATTAAAGCTAAGTTTATTTAAGTACAGATGGAAAGAAAACAAAGGCTTTCAGAGTATATTTTTAAACTCACCTTCATTGTTGTTTCCTCTGCATTTACGGGAATGGCTGAAACCAAGCTCAAGATTTCAACAACTGCTTTCAGATTTGCAACTGAAGTGTTTACATTTTTCTGCTCCTTTTTGACAGTTGTATTCAGATGTGAAAGGTATGTGGGCAAATTCCTCACTGACTCAGGACTAGACACCAAAGACTAGAGTTAAAATGAAATCCATTAGAAACAGAACAAATTGCAGATAAGATTGATGGTCAGTTAAATATTTAAAACATTTAAAGGTTTTCCAACGAAAAGAAAACTTTATGTACAGTGACCACTAACCACTTTGGTCAGTGTGTGATTCATCAGCCCCAGGGTGACTAAACACGATGAAGAACTAATCTGGGTTAAACCTAGAGAAAACACAAATCCTGACGAGGCTGGCAAATCACAACACTGGACCTCATCCATGTGATGACGTCCTTAAACACTGGTCCAGTTGTCTTGACTGTTCCTAGCTCAGGAAACAGTCAAAACAACTGGACCAGTGTCTAATGACCTCATCACATGGATGAGGTCCAGCGTTGTGATTCGCTAGCTTCTATGGTGAATCAGGGCAGCATGGAGAAGGCAGCTGGGCAATCTTGGTGCCCTGACTGCCAGCTAACACTTATTCATCCCATGTGGGAAAGTGCCACCACACAGCTTGAGTCTGCTGAAGCCCCGTTGTTCCTTACACAACACAGGGACACTTCTGTGTTGGCGACAGCAGTGTCCCACCATGCTGCCATCTCAGTTCACCCATGGAGCCCCACCAGAAGTCACCCTTCATCATCTGATGGATGGCATGGGGCTCCATGGGTGAACTGGGGTAGAAGCATCCTAGGACACTTTTTTGCTCCATGTGGAACTGGCTGTCTCAACAGTCATCCTGTCCATGGGATGGCTGTCCCCTTTCATCCTCTTCCTCTGTGTTGCTGTTGGCCAAAACAGCAACACGGTCATCTACCATACTCTTGGGGGTCGAGCAACCTTCAGGCAGGGCCCATGAATCATGAAGGTGGCTGGGAGGAAGAAGGAGGGAGATTTGGGTGCAGTTGGGCAGTAGAGTCCCTTTCAGGCCCCCAAGCGGACTCAGTCCAGCACCTGATAAACCAGATCAAGCCTGCTTAAATAATCATATAGAAAGGTTCCTTGAATGTGGTTTCTAGAAGTAGATTCTAGAAGATAAAGATAAATAGTATTGTGGTATTGTTTTACTGTAGTCATTTTCTGGCTACACTTCTGGGAGGGCACTTTTACTGGCATGGTCCATATACCTTTTGCAGCCATACAATAGAAAAACATTCAAATGGCACATATTCCTTTTAATTGGCCATTTACAAGGAAGATACAACTCCCTTGGCACAACAGCTTCACTGTCTACTAGTCTATTTCCAGGCTCAGTGCAAAGTGCCCAGCTTCAAGCTATCTTCCCACATCAACCTTATAGTAGGTATGTAATATAAATAAAGTTGTTGCTAGCAATAATGCTGCCTATCAGTCGGGAAGGAGACAAAACTGCTGGATCTTTGTCTCAACTTCAAACCCTGGGAGTGTAAAAGAAGTGCCAGACCAAATTGCTATTGAATCCATTTCTGATTCAACACTTAGAGTTCATAATGGGTATGTAGTTTTGTGCTGATGAATCCTATACAATTATAACATCGTAATTCATCTTCAATAAGACAGGGTCTGCATCCTATAAACAAACAAATTTAAAAAGCACAACTGGATCAAAAGGAATGGGAAACTATTCATTTTCAATAATAATAATAATAATAATAATAATAATAATAATAATAACAACAACAACAATAATCATAAGCAAGCCATCAGAACAAATGCAATTAAGGCCAGGATTGTAAAATCTGCTGATGACCCAAAATGCAGACTGTGCAAGGAAGCTGATGAAACTATGGATCATATCCTCAGCTGCTGCAAGAAAATCTCACAGATGGACTACAAACAGAGGCACAACTCTGTGGCCCAAACGATTCACTGGAACTAATGTCACAAGTACCACCTGCTAGTAGTAAAGAACTGGTGGGATCATAAACCTGCAAAGGTAGTGGGAAATGAACATGCAAAAATACTGTGGGACTTCCGAATCCAGACTGACAAAGTTTTGGAACACAATACACCAGACATCACAATTGTGCAAAAGAAAAAAGGTTGGATTATTGATGTCGCCATACCGGGTGACAGTCGCATTGAGGAAAAACAACAGGAAAAACTCAGTCATTACCAAGATCTCAAAATGAAACTGCAAAGGCTCTGGCATAAACCAGTACAGATGTCCCGGTGGTAATCGGCACACTGTGTGCCGTGCTAAAAGATCTGCTGGCATTGGAAACAATAAACATTGACAAAATCACAGTCTGTCAACTGCAAAAGGTCGCCTTACTTGGATCTGTGTGCATCATTCATCTTCAGTAAGACAGGGTTTGCATCCTATAAACAAACATCACACAGTCCTAGAAGCTTGGGAAGTGTTTAACTTGTGATATTTTGATACGAAATCCAGCATATAGGTCTTGTTTGCTGTGACATATTATGCTTTTGTGTCAGTAAAATAATAATAATAATAATAATAATAATAATAATAATAATTTCTTTATTTTTGTACCCCACCTCCATCACCCCAAAGTGACTCAGGGTGGCTTACCTATGGCACAATGTGCCTAGAACAAGGCATAAAATAAACACGCAATACAATACAAGATAAAACCAATAACATATAAAACAATAGTTTAAGCTCAAAACGGCCCCCAATAGCCTATGGTGAGAACTGTCGTACAACATGGCCAACTGTAAACAAGAACAAGGGGATAGGATAGTGCAAGTTGTAGCTAATGAGGGAGGGCATGGGATGAAAGTGCAGTGCTGTGTCATTAATTGCATTGTTCCAGTGCATGCTCACTTCCAGGCCATGGATATGAAAGTGTTGCCAATACCTCTGGAAAGCAAACAAGCAATCAAAGAAAAACAGACATTCCAGACCAAGAGATGTTCTTACCTCAGCATTAGTAAGAAGGTCATTAAGTGGGACAGCTAAGCAGTCATTTCTAGCAACAATCCATTTGTTTTGGTGACACCTATAGGTAATTTGTCCTCTGACATGATTGCTCTTCTCCCCCGGTGACTGCAAGCATGGCTTTGTAATCCGAGCACCACTCTCTCCAGTACCAATCTCTGAAGAATTACACGCCACCTTCTTAGCTGTGGAAGAAAAGAAGAGGAGATGGGTCTGGTCTCCTGAGACATCCCATAACCTGCTGTGTGTTATAAGCAAGAAGTACACAGAAATGCCCCCAGGTATACACATTATATAGATGTGAGAAAGGTTTCAGTGCAAGGGTGGGCATCTTTTTGTCCCTGAAAGCCACATGCCACAAGATGCAAGAGAGGACAGACATAGAGCCCCTTTGCACACACATATCCCCCCACCCCGCCGTGTGCAAGCATGAGAAAGGTTGAACGTCTTCCTGTGCTCTGAAATTATTTTTGTGCTGAAATAATCTCTTCTCCAGAACAAATCAAATTTACAATTAAATAATTAAGGCTATAAGAGCCTCTGGTGGCGCAGTGGGTTAAAGCACTGAGCTGCTGAGCTTGTTGATCGAAAGGTCGCAGGTTTGATTCCAGGGAGCGGCGTGAGCTTCCGCTGTCAGCCTTAGCTTCTGCCAACCTAGCAGTTCGAAAACATGCAAATGTGAGTAGATCAATAGGTACTGCTCCAGCGGGAAGGTAACGGCGCTCCATGCAGTCATGACCTTGGAGGTGTCTACGGACAACGCTGGCTCTTCGGCTTAGAAATGGAGATGAGCACCACACCCCAGAGTCAGACATGACTGGACTTAATGTCAGGGGACAACCTTTACCTACCTTTACCTATAAGTATGCCTTGTTCTGCATTAATATTAAATATTTATTATCAACTAGCTGTACCCGCCACACGTTGCTGTGGTCAACTTTCCCTCCCTCTTTCTCTCCTTCTTTCTTTCTCTCCTTCCTTCCCTCTTTTTCTTTCCCTTCTTTCTTCCTTCTCTACCTGTTTCTTTTCTCGCTTCCTTTGCTCTTTGGTTCCATCCTTCCTTGTCTCTTTCCTTCCTTCCTCCCCTCCCTCTTTCTCTCTTTCGTTCCTTCTCTCCTTCCTTCCCTCTTTCACTTTTTTATTTCCTTCTCTCCTTCCCTCCTTCTTTCCCTCTTTCTCTCCTCCTTTAATTCCCCTCTCCCAATAAAATGGACTATCCTTTTCTCTCTATGCCCCCTAGTGGCCTCCACCTGAATAATGGTACAATACCTCTCATATTAAAAGCAATCAAGTGGTGGTGGTTTATTTATTTATTTGTCGTGTCAGGGCAGCCAGTCAATTATATTACATTTCTAACAGAACAAAGCAAACAAACAGAGAAAATACAAAATGTGTGAGTTTGGTAGTTGATTAAATGTCCTTTGACCAGTATCTGGCCACTTGGAGTGCTTCTGGTGTTGCTGCAAGAAGGTCCTCCGTTGTACATGTGGCAGGACTCAGGTTGCACTGCAGCAGGTGGTCAGTGGTTTGCTCTTCTCCACACTCGCATGTCGAGGATTCCACTTTGTATCCCCATTTCTGAAGGTTGGCTCTGCATCTTGTGGTGCCAGAGCGCAGTCTGTTCAGTGCCTTCCAAGTCGCCCAGTCCTCTGTGTGCCCAGGGGGGAGTCTCTCATTTGGTATCAGCCATTGGTTGAGGTGCTGGGTTTGGGCCTGCCACTTTTGGACTCTCGCTTGCTGAGGTGTTCCAGCAAGTGTCTCTGTAGATCTTAGAAAACTATGTCTGGATTTAAGTCCTTGACGTGCTGGCTGATACCCAAACAGAGGACGAGCTGGAGATGTCTCTGCCTTGGTCCTTTCACTATTGGCTGCTACTTCCCAGCGGATGTCAGGTGGT